ATGATATATTTATCATTATAAGCTAAAATTAATGAAATAGCATTTTTTTATTGCAAATTTTTTTGAGTTGCTCAATTTTTAAAGTGGACAGAAATTTTTCATGGCACGTGTTTAAAATATAAATTGTTGAAGGAGAAATTGAAAATTAATTATTTTTTATAATTTAGAAGTAATTAATTTAAAAAAATGATATTTTTTGTGAATAACAGGAATGGATGGTTTGAAATTTTTGAATCTTTAAATGCATTTCTCAAATGTAATGTTTTCTTCTTTTCCACTGCATATAATTGTTTTTTAATTTTATGGAAACTTTTATTGAAAAAGGAACTTCAAATTTATTAAAGTATTTGTGAAATGATGACATTGTACGAGGTATCGATGAGTTCTTTTATCGTCGTTCATTTTTAAATTCTCTAAAATTAATGATTTCAATTAATCAAGATGCCTTTGGTACTATTCAAAAGACTATGATCCCAGTGGCTTTCATTTTTTGTCCTAGTTTTTAGTACTTAAAAAAAAATCCCACTCATGGAATAAATAATCGTTCCAAATGAGTCAAATTTTTCAGTAAGAAATGAAATGATCAATTTTAGGTCCTTTTTTAACTTTTTAAAAAAATTTTCTTTCAGAAGTGGCTAAAATTTCCATCATTAGTGTCATGTGCTGATAAGATAAGATAAGATAAGATAAGATAGGACAAGAGGAATGAGTTATATCGCATGTAATTTCAATAGTGGCATTTCTTTTAATTTAGCATTCGATAATATAGCATCTGTTTCTAAATTCATTTTATTGTTGCAGATTTCTGTTGCAAAATTAAAGTTTTCTGGCCGAAATTAACAATCCAATCATCCTATCTTCAAATAAAATGCATTTCGTCAGTCTGTTTGAAAATTGTTTACTGAAATATTAAATGATTAAATTCCCATTGTTTGGCAACTTTTACTTATGGAATTGTCAAATTTGCGTGTACTTGTAATTGAAATTAAACTATCTTTGCATAAATATCATTTTGGTATGACAATTTAAATTCCTTAAATTGTGTATTTTCAGGTTGCTTTTTTTTTACATCTAATATGCTAAATAAATGCTATTGCAAATTATTTTAAGAAGAAATTTCAATCTTTTAATAATTTTGACAAATTTATGTTGATTTTTTTGAAAGTAGCTAGGAGAAGAATCAAATAAGCGATGTTTGCTTATTGTTAGCATTAAGCGAGAGATATAAATCATCAATTGTGAATTGTTTCCACTCCAATTCCCTATTGAAAAAAATGCCAATTTCTTTTAATTTATTGTTTTTAACAATTTTTTAACTAATTTATTGACGCCATTCCCTTATCGAATTGTTTAATTTTAAAAAAAAAGATAATAATTCAAAGATAATTTATAAACCATTTGCAAACAAAAATGATTCCTAATCCAATGATTCCTTTTTTTTTCTGGAATGTGCAATTTTTTTCGTTTAAAGTGAGTTTTTTTCTTTCGTTTCTGCTACATTTCTCTTTTTTCAGATATGCAGCTTAGACGGTCATTTATGATTTTGTTGAAATTTAACAGCATTTGAAAACTGTATTTCTGATTAAAATTTGATTTGGCTTTAATTTTACAATAGAATTGAAGTTGGCAAACTTAAGTGTTCATGTTTTAACACTTATCATAAGCTTTTTTTTTGTAGTTCGTCATAAGTTCCATTATCGGCACGCTGCATGAAATGCAGTGGTGATATGCAAAATAATATGATCAATACGAATGATTGAAATATTTTTTTGATTTAAAAGAATTACAAAAAAACATTTTTTAATGATGCTCGCAATTGCATTTTAAAAATGATGCAATGATATAATAAATTTAATAACAAATTTAGAATAAAAAAAAAGGAAAAATTTTGTCTTGCTTAGCATTCCCTTTCTATCGAAATTTTATTTTTCCCAAATTTTCCTAATTACATCTGATCTAAACACTTATAAAATTGAATTATTTGAGTTTATTGCCTAGAGGAAATAAGCAGTAATATCAGTTTATTTTTTTTTGATGGAAAAAAGAAATACTTTTTTGGTTTATTAACCAATCTCAATTTATATCCTTCTCTCATATCGACCTTTCTAATACTTTTTATCTCAAAAGAAAAAATAAAAATAAAACTGATGTCACCGTTAATTTTTCCTACATTAAAGCAATGGATTCATATAAAAATTTGAAATTTCTACCAAATTTTGTAAATACTTGAGATCAAATGTAACCTATAAAAAATTGAAAAAAAAAAACGAAACAAAAATGGATAGTATCTGCGACAATTCGAAAGGCGACATATTTTTGAAAATATGCAAATACATTTTCGATGGATCAATTTTACAATAATTACGGTCATAATTTTTTCAACAAACATTGTTGATAATTCTGAAATGTGTGCCAGAACTCAATTTTGAAAATCTAAAAATTCCTTTTCACATTTCTTTTTAACACTCCCAGGTTATATATATATCATTCCATAATGAATAGTTATGGCAAAATGCTACAGAAATCGCTTCAGCGGTATTAATTATGTTGGTTCCAAAAATCAAAACCGTAATTCAATTATCGCTCAAAAATTTGCCATAAAATTTACTAAGTTATTTCTTCTCAAAAAATCAATCAACCACTAATTATCTGTTCTGATTTTTCAATACCAACGATTTACTAATTTTAGTGTGAGTAAATCATACTAAAATTATAACATTTGAGTATTTTTTATCATTAATCTTACTAATATTAGTACTACCTTTTAATTTCAAATCTAATTATTAAATATCTTCTGATTTTAAATTTAATTATTAAACAGTTATATCCAAATTTGTGCTAATTTTATTAAACGATACATTCTTTGTACTTTTTACCATTGTATTCAAAAAATTTATAAATTCATTTCGAGTAGTTTTTTTTTTTTGTTCTACAGCTCAAAATTTAGTCTATTAATGACCTCTCTCCGCATTCCTCCGAGACATTCAAATCTAAACTACTAACCCACTCTTAACACTGATATATTATTTTTTTATGGCCCAGTTCTGTAAATTTCTGTAATCATGCCCAGTAACTTCTGTAATTTTTTTATTCTTCACAATTCATTTCGCCAACTTAAGTTAGATTTTTTTTCAAACTTTAACTACCTACAAATATATCTATTTAGAAATACAGAAAAATAATCTTTTTTATAATCTACACTACATATGTATAATTTATTTAACTATCAAATATGTCATCATATATGAATGGTTGTTAGCATCGAGATATACTGATAAGCGGGATGATGGAATGAGCCGTTTTCAAAACTGATCTAAGAAAAAAAAATCATTCAATGTTTCAATTATTTGTAATAAACCGATTTTATTTAATTTTCTAAAAATTAATACCAAAAATTTGTTAAATTTTTCTTTCACATTACTCCAAACATATTTTAGCTATTTTCGTCGTTTAATATACATGAAATATTTGAACAATTTTGAAGAATAAAACTTATATCGAGCAAGCCAGAATAATTCCCATTATCTATTTCAATCTATTGCGAAGTCATTTCAATTTATTAATAACACATGGCAGATATCTTTTTAAAATAATTTAAAGGAAAATTTTATACTTTCTTCTCAAAAATTTTCATTTAAAATTCTTTAAACAATAAAATCGATCTATTAGTATGAAAAACCAATGATTAAAAGACATTTATGACATAAGTAAGTAATCAAAGATTTTCAGATAAGCATCGCTACGAAAACATGCTTATATCACATCTGGCTATTGATTATTATTAATTACATACCGGTCATTTGAAAAGGTAACCTTCCACGAAATCGCCTTCTCATTTTTGTGACACTAATGAATTTAATGTATATTGAAACTCAAGCATAAATAAGGAATGCTAGAAAAAACGAAAAAACGTCTCCGATTTCCAAACTTTCTCGAATATTCAAAAAAAAATCTGAAAAATCTTAGTGTGAGAGTGGACTTAATTGATAAGTCCACTCTCACACTACGAAACTTTTGAAAGAAGCAGAAAATTTGAAAAAAAGCCATTCTTCATTCAAAACTTCAATGTTCCTTTTTTTTTTGAAAACAAAACTATGACATGCCAAACATTCTTCATTCAAAATTTCACTTCAATTTCTTCAAAAAAAACTCAAATTTTGACGATTACCATAGAAATGAGGAAAAATCTTATCTTACTAAAAAAGCAGACAATCTGATCCACAAAAATAGTGCTATTAGTTTAAATTTTCAAGAAATTAATAGAAAACTTCCTAATCGAAAATTTCCGCAATAAGAATGCTATGAGCAAGCAAAAAATTACATTCATAAAATAACTATGCTAAATGAACAGATTTGCGTGTTAATGTGTAGACTGCCTGTGAATTTCAGACTTTATCAAGACATATCCAAAGCAAAGACTACTATACAACCGAGAAAGAGATGAAATCAAAATTTAAAAGTACCGAGTTTCCAAAAAAAACATACACACCTCCGAATAAAGGTGACATTTTCGGAAAATTTATTTACTGAAACCCGTAGTTCAGATGAATACATAATATTTAGGGAAATTGACTTTTCACAATACCAATTTATGAGATATGAAAGTTCTTAATATAACAATAAGAAAAAAGAAAAACTTCAACTTACAGACAGAATTACAAATTAAAATCTTACTAGAGAAAAAAGGCTGGACATACAGGACATGTCCAAAAAAAACGCCTTGTAATCTGAATACAACAACATTTCCATAAATACATTATTAGTCATGAATAAATTTTCGCTTTCATAGCATTGATATCGGCAATTTGAAGGAGAATTAAGCAATGAATGTAAAAGTATAGCATTAGTGAATGGCTTACTCTCCTACACACACACACACACACACACACACACACACACA